TCACTGGTGCTTCTGCGAAGGCGCTGCCGTGCTTCCAGGCCTAAGTTGACAGATGCGCGAGAGCGAGCTCTAGCGAATTCTAGCGAATTGTGAGGAAAGAACACGCAAGAGGTAGAAAAGAGAGAGAAAGAGAGAGCAAGCAAACTCTTTCTCTGCCAAGCAAGTACGCTTATTTTTGTTTTCTCTTCGAAGAGTTCGAGTTCTCTCTGTGGTCCTGGCGTCGTGGGTCCCGCCTTCGCTAGAAGGAGCGAGAGCGAGCCAGCGAGAGTCAACATTAAGAATTGTGAGAGTCCGTCTGTGAGAGTTCTGTGCGAGGGCAGCGTCCCAGAAAGGGTCTCACGAGTGTTGGGATCTCTTCCCAAACGTCCCCCCCAATTCAACAAGGGGCCGTCGCTCCCTTGCCCTTCTTTGGCAAGCCCATCTCGTCACGAAACCAGAGCATCACCTGAACGTTTAGCGGAGCCGAAAGTCGAGTGCAGTGAGTGCAGCCCTTTCTCAAAGTTTCTCAAGTTCTAAGGCCTGTGCGGGAGACATGCACCGAAGGACCATGACCAACGTCTGCAACAGGGGTTGAAGCGCACACGCTCCACAAGAGCTCTTTGCAAGAGAGAGAGAGAGAGAGACACTCAGAGTCTGCCCAGAGTCTACTCAGAGTTCGACAAAAAGGGAAAGAGCTCTGAGAATTGAGAGCTGACTCTGAGTGCCGTTCGAAGAGCATGTGGAAGACAACCCCTTGGCAGTGTCAACAGTCATAGACTTTTTCTCCTCACTACATTGGATTCACTGTTAACTCACCTTCCTTCCCCCCCCCTTCCCCCCTCGCTGCGCGCGCGCGCCGTCTTCGCTGAGGAAGAGCTGCGGGAGCCGGAGGGCGACAGAGATGCCAAGGCCTCTCAGAGAGAACCAAGTTCTTAGGGAGATCTTTCTCTTCACTCAGAACGGTTCTCTGAGACTTTGAGAGTTAAGAGGGGGCGAGAGAGTTGAGAGAGAGAGAGAGAGAGAAACGGAGACATGCAGTGAGAAATTGAATCAGGCGTGTTGAGACATTCTCAACTCTCTAGCTCTGCCCGCTTTTGAATGCGCCTATGACGATCTTCACCCAATGCTCCGCCAGCAAATGGGCCAACAGTTCCTCCTGAATGGAGTCCGTCGAAAAAACAAAGGCACATGGCACCGGCACGCACGCACGCGCACGCACGCATGCGCGCGCACACTCACAAGAGGAGAGGAGAGAGCGAGAGAGAGAGAGAGAGAGAGCGAGCACACACGAGAACACTCTTTTTGGCCTCTCTGGGTGCACACTTGCAAAAAACCCACCTCCGCTCCCCGCCCACCTGCGACAGCACTGAGAGGCGCTGGGTGCTGGTGGCGCTCGGCCTGCAAATGTCTTAAGTGCTGCAACTCTACTGCCGCCCCGCGATCTCCCGTGTTGTGTAAACGATGCGCTTCCGAAACAATTGCGATCCCCCCCCCCCCCTCCCCCGGCCCCCCTTCCCCCCTTCCCCCCCTTTCCGGCGCACTCTGGGATAGGTGCCCCAGTTGGACCACCGGCCTCAGAAACGCTCTGAATCCGAATCGCAAAGCTCAGCCTCACTCCAACGTTTAGTGCTCACCGGAGTACGCCCTCTTAATACTCTTACATCTCATTTTATTCGATTGTTAACCAAATTCCAAATGTTCTCTTTAGTCTTTTACTCTTTCCTCCTGCCAAATGTTTATCCGACGTTTATTGAACTCTTTTTCAACAGGCGCACCGCAGCTCAGCCCCTCTCCAACCCACTTCAGTGCTCACTCTTTCCGCCTTATCCTGTTATTCCGAAGAAAAACTCTTTGGATGGGCTTGGAAGGGAATATGCTTTTGACGTGGGCCTGCCCGGCGTAAAAAAAGACGGGGGTTGGGGGCTGGAGCCAAGCAAGCTAAGCCAAGCTAAGCCGAGCCACAAACTTGCAAGGGACATGGCCGAGCCATGCCCGGCCAAGCCTTTCCACAAAAAGAAGCTCCGGCAGCACCGGGTATGATATTTCATAACGTTATTTTTCAGCGGCCGCATCGCAGTCATCGCAGTCATCGCAGCTCCGCCTTTCTCCAACTCTACTCTGTTCTGTTATCTGCCCTGTTGTAACTGTTGTAGTGATGCAAGATCCACAAGAATCCCCAGTGCGCACCTGAGAGATCCATCTCACGGGTTCTGCAACTAGGAAAAGGCCTGAAGCTCTGTTCAAGGCTGACATCGCTGCCCCAGAAGTGCCAGGGCAAACAGTTTCCTGTGAGGCAGGAAGGCAGCTGCTTGCGGACCTGGTTTCTAGGATTTGCTCCGCAGGCGCTCCACCGACTGGCGTGCCAGGTGTGCAGCAGTTGCCACCCAGTACTACGGCTCAGCTCCCTCAACTGTATTCGCAGGATGAGTTTTGCGAGTGCTTGACAAAGCTTTGTGCTTCTAAAAATCGGTTCATGCGCCGCTTGCTGCACTTAAAGCAGGATCGTCAGTGACGGATAGTTTGGCATTGCAGCTCTGTAACTTGGGCAAAGCTTGTGGTCTCACATTTCGCCCATCCGGAAGGCAGGACGCCAGAATGTCACTTCCATCGTGAACCTGCGTCCTGTGAGCCGGGCAAGTGACATGTCAGCCATCCAAAACGCACTATGGTTATCTCGCTGCAAACCTTTCATCGAGAAATATACCGGTGAGTGCCAATTAGGCAGGAAGTACGACTGCGTCGCAATCATTGTGGCCTTGGTGCTGCACGCCCATGTCCGTCATTACCAAGGGTTACTCACGTATTTTCTGTTGCGGATCTTAAGTGGGCATTTGATGTGGCTGATGTGAACCTTATGCTATTCACGTGCTATGAAGCTGGCATTGTGGACCTGGACTGGCAGATGCTTGATGATTTCTTTAGGCTAGATGTTGCATCAGTGGTGGTGGGAGGCTGCCCGGCTGCGTCTCGACGTTGCTGAAACTGCCGGCTGGGATTCCCCAAGGGCGGCGTTTTGCATGCATTTATGGCATCTATGAAAATCTTGCAGCATACAATGGAGGCCGCAGCCCACACATCGGCCACCATCTTGCCGGACTTTGCAAGGGAAGCATTGGAAGGGATGTGGCAGGCTCTCACGCCCCCACCTCCTCTTGAGATGGTGCCCCCAACACTTTGTAGGAAATCAGTGACGTATGCTCTACAGCAGTGCCTCGAATCTGGTGACGAGCAGGGTGCAAGGAGGTTCGCGATACACTTGATTCCGAGCACTCCAGGACTCACTCCAGCTCTCGTACTCGTTCTCTGCCGTACTCTTTCTCTCACACCCCAACAGCTTCAAAAGTTCCCAAGTTCCAAAGTACACTCGCTCTCTTCATTTTAGACCCTCTCTTTATTTGACTCTCTCTTTTTTGCTCGGCTCAGAATGAATGAGTACAGTTTGGGATCTGCCTCGGCACACTAACAGTAATAAAGGGTTTTGTACTAAACATAGCGCAAAATTCCAGCACCAGAAAGTCTGATCGAGTTTGGACCTGGCTCAGCAGACGAGATCACACTTTGGGCCTTGGTTTGTGGTCTTTTCTGGTGCTAGTCACTGTGCTCCTGCTGGTGCTTGTTGATGGTGCCATTGCTTCGTTCTGAGCACAAAAAAAAGCACCGGAGAAAGCACAATCATGAGCACAAAAAATAGCACCGGAGAAAGCACAATCGTGAGCACAAAAAAAAGCACCGGAGAAAGCACAATCATGAGCACAAAAAAAAGCACCGGAGAAAGCACAATCATGAGCACAAAAAAAAGCACCGGAGAAAGCACAATCATGAGCACAAAAAATAGCACCGGAGAAAGCACAACCGTGAGCACAAACAAAGCACGGGAGAAAGCACCATCATGAGCACAAAAAAAGCACCGGAGAAAGCACAATCATGAGCACAAAAAAAAGCACCGGAGAAAGCACAATCATGAGCACAAAAAAAAGCACCGGAGAAAGCACCATCATGAGCACAAAAAAAAGCACCGGAGAAAGCACAATCATGAGCACAAAAATAGCACCGGAGAAAGCACAACCGTGAGCACAAAAAAAGCACCGGAGAAAGCACAATCGTGAACACAAAAAGAAGCACCTGAGAAAGCACAATCGTGAGCACAAAAAATAGCACCGGAGAAAGCACAATCTTGAGCACAAACAAGAGCACCGGAAAACTTCATCACACTCATACATCAGGCAGGCCTTCAGGTATGATCATGAGGCACTCAGAAATGTCCAATCTCACGGGTGCTTTATTTTGTGGGTGTGTTTGTGCTGATGATTAGTGTGCTCGGGCAAGTCATAAAGTACAGTAATGCTCTTCTCCTCCCTTCTTCTCTTCTCTTCTTCTTCCGCGGGGGGTGCACTTCTCTCTTCTTTTTCTCTCCGGGGGGCAGGGGAAAGAGGGGAAAGAGCGCCGACATCCGAGGAGCGGCTTTGGAGAGCGCGCTGGCCATCTGCTTCTGGGACATGATGCCCCCCTTGCCTCGAGAAGAAAAAGAAGAGCAGAAAGAGAGAAAAAGACATCTCCCCTTCTTCCCCTTCTTTCCTTCCCTTCTCTCGGGCACAGACCCGTTCGCTTCCGGCCGATGGACTCCAGGAAGATCTGCATCCTCAGCTCAATCTGACTCAAGAAGTGCAAGTGTGAGTGTGTGTGAGTGTGCAAGTGTGTGTGCAATTGAAGATTCTGCGAGCAGACGTGCCTCTCGACTCAGACCGGCTCAGACCCCCGAACTTCTTCAACCAGCGCCCAGAAAACTGCTCCAGGGCCCCTACGCTCGCTGAGAGTGCTGCGAGGTTGCACCAACTTTTGCACAACTTGCATAATGCGACAGATCCCCCGATCCGCTAAAACAAGAGCCAACACAGAAAACCGCGAAGCGAGCGCCCGAAGTGGGGCCCCTCACGCCCCTCACGGTAGGTGCCCCGAAATCTCTTTTGATGGCTGAAGAGGCTTCTGCACGCGAAAACTCGGCGACGGTGAGAGCGCGTTTTGTTTTCTTTCCAATTTGCAAGCCAACCAAAAAACTCAAAAGCCCTTCCAAGAAACTCTGGGCAAGTTTTCTCAAACACATCAGAGCGACGGCCCCAAGCCCCAGCGCAAAGAGCGCAGGATTTCACTCCAGTTCTGCAATCGCACGGCACGCCCCCGAAAACTCTTGTCTTTTTGAATATCCTTCTGTTCTCGAAGATTCGCCTCCTTCCTGCCGAGAAGCGTCTGGAGCCCAACCCACACCCCCAACCCCACCCCTACCCCCCCTAACCCCCCCCCCCCCTCCCCCCCCCCCAAACACCCTTGACCGCCTGGACCTGATTTTTTTGCAAAAACCCTCTTTCCTCCTTTCCTGTCCTGGGCTGCCAAGGCGGAGTGCGCAAGCGTTTGCAATTCTGACCTGCTCTTTCGGCTTGGGCCACCGGCCCGACCACGATAACAATGTCCAGCAAGAAGATGCAAACCTCTGGAGGACATCGTATGCATGTGCATGTGGTCTCTCTGTTGTAGCATGGGACAAAGACTACAGCGACTCCTTGATTTGTGTATGTTTGTGTCAAAAGTCCTACGTCAACTTTGTCAAGTGCCCCACAGCTGCCTAAGCGATTTTTGCATGAGCGCTTCAACTACAATGTCCTGATTTCACTGTAGACGCTTGGCTCAACCGTCCTGACGGCTTTCTGATACACTGACTGTGCTGGTGTGTGTCATCTAGGCCTCACAGTGATATGCCCAGCTCCACTGCGATCCCTTCGCTCCTTCGTGTGCGATTGCTTCTGCTTCGATGTGTAATCTGCCGCCGTGCCATCTGCGTCAATCTGCGAAGATCCAGAGGACTCTTGAGAGGAGCCCCGAGACCTCCCCGCTGTTTCTTTTGCACACGTCCTCCACAACCGCTTAACACAAAGTCCGTGGAAGTTCCTCAGTTCCTCTCCTTCGCTCAACCTGGCCAAACCTTCTGGCTACCTTGCGAAGCTGCCATCGGGTGCTGCGGATGGGCCACTACTTCGTTGGCCCTGCGTCGGATTCGATTGCTACCTTTGTTGAGAATCCTTTGCAGCCTCTAAGGTGCCAGGGGCGCAGATTCCCTGACTTCCTACCAGAGTCATATCAGATCCCTGCCGCCAGACACAAGAAACACTTGCATCTGAGAGCCGCACCCAAAAGATGAGCCTCTGAAAGGCCAAGGGGGAGGGGGGGGGAGGACAAGCTTCGCAGTGCAGAGCATTGCAGAAGCCTCCTTTCCCTCTTTTCCAGAGCCCAAAGTCGAGAAAACTCCGAGGACAGTACGTGAGGCTGGAGCTCAGCCAACTCGCCGTTGTGGTCACGGCACCGGCACCCTGGCCCTGGAGCCGTGTGATGCCGTGTGATGCCGTGTGATGCCGTGTGATCTGTTTGCTTCTCTCTTTCTCTCAAAATGCGCGCTCAATTTGCAGAGAAGAGCGCCCTTAAGCATAACCTTGCTAAAATGCTTTGGCGCTTTGGCGGCATTGCTCTGCTCTCCTACAACAGCTCCAGCCCACAGTCCCCGGACTCTAAAAAAAGATCGACATAGATTCATAGATAACGGGCCACTGTACTGCAGCCTGGGGCCACACATGCCCCGAAAATGGCACAGAAGAGTGCAAAGTCATGATCTGTTTTTGCACAGCTTTTAGCACAGTTTTAAGGGGCCCTCAGAAGTGCTGTCCCTAGCCAATAGCCAACTGAGCCAACTGATAGCCAATCCCAAAGTTCACCAAACAACGCCACATGGTTCGAACTGCCTTGGCTGGACTCGGAGCTGACATCCTCTTCTTCCGAAAGCAAGAAAGAATCCATGGTTTGCAACATTCGTAAACGAAAGCACATGCTTCCCATATGAAGCATATATGCGGTCATCGTGTGGGGTTCCCACACCACCGTTGTCAGCAAACGCTGCGCCGTGAGCCTAAGTTGACCCCGTTGACCCGGCGAACTGTGGGGGGACCGGCACCATGGTTGTCAGAACAAACAAGGCTCTTAGGGCTTAGGGCTTAGGGCTGCCTGGCCATCCTACTGTAGCAGCTCCCTAGAGTGGTTTGGGGTGTCCAACAGGCCACAAGAGAAACCTGCCCAAGGGCACAGGGGAGTTCTTGTTCCTGTTTTCAGCTCATTGCAAAACCCGATTTCCAGCAAAGGGATTGCAAACTCTGACCACGCCAACTTCTGAGGGCGGCGCCGAAACAAGAACAACAAAAACGGAAAAGGAACAATCTCTGGATAGACGACTTCTTGTCTGCCATACTGACAAAGAACCACGACGTCATGATCCGGATTTCTTCGTTCCCCAAAGGCATTCATCTTGCGCACCTTGGACGCTGGACCTGCAGCTGGAGGACATCGTGATGACGTGCATGGTGACATGATGATGGTTGTACTAGCAATACTGATTAGACATGTACATGATGTACATGATGTACATGTGACATGCGTCCGAGAGTGTGACCCGGAAGCCTTGGCTCCTCGCTGTCCTTGCTGGAG